CCCCCAACACATGGAGCCCCCTCCATGTGAGGGGGTATAAGACTTTATGTACACCGGAAAGTGTACATATAGTCTTATCCAATTTGTAAACATAGATTTTCTATGATTGCTAGAGATCTAGATGTACAACTGTAGATTTAGTTTGTCTTGATGTACCTTCTCTCTTATTTTTCCAGGGTGTAGTCCATCTATAGAAGGAAGATTGTTTCTCTTCCCAATTTAATTAATACACAACATTTTTTATCCTACTCAAGATGTGGTTATTGGGAAAACTTTTTGTGAATCTCTTATGCTGCAAGTACCGATCTCTCTCTTGCTTGGTTTGATGATCAATTACTTGTTTCTTATTTAATGTGAAAGGCTTATTATCTCAAAATGAGGATGCAAAGAATTAAACTCACAATTCTGTAAAGGTACTACAATTGCATATTTGGGATTGTGTAAACTTATTACATAAATTGCCATTCTGAAGTCATATTTGTGCTTCTAGTTTTCCAAATTTATTTGTATTAGCTTCCCATTTTATGCCTACTTTGAACAGGAAGATAATTGGGATTATCAGCATATTAGATTGAAGCAGCTGTATTTAGCAGTGGATTTGAAGGAAATTCTTCGAAGAATCCCGAATATGATTTCTTCATGAAGATTTGGAAGTGACAATGTAAGTGGAGTCACAAAACCAGTCCCTTCGACCAGGTGTAAGGGCTGTGCGCTTTTGGACGTAAGAACACAAGCCAGTTGTATGTCTCAGTAATGTGTATTTGGTGGAGGATTACAGATTTCTTTAACTTGCATCTTACTTTTGTTTCTTTTATTATCGAATGTTGGTTTCGATACTGATATGAATAAGCTTATGTAACTCTCCTGCAACTTTTTTTTTTTTTTTCAATGATTATGAGAATAAAAGAAGTTTGTTGTTCTATTGGTAATTCAACGTTCTATTCATGATTGATCATGTAGCTAGAAAAATTGTAAGCTATGCAGTAAGAACTGAATAATTCCATAGGTACAGGAAATTATTGATAGAAATGATGGTGCAATTTCTGTG